ATGTTTGTTATATATACATTGGGGAATAACATTAGGGATGTCATAGTGCTGGGATCTATGACGCCAATCAGTTGTTAGTTGATGCCTTTTGTAGTGTCCCCTCCATTCAAACTGTCGTACTCGTCATCCCCAATGCCCACTTTCCATTCCTTCAGCACACACAGCCCAAAGCATCCCAGGCCCCTACATGCCACCAACATAATGATACTTGAATACTTCTATGACCAATAAATCTACATAGCTTTCCTGAGATAGTGCCATTAAAAATATTTTTTTTAAAATGTAGAATCATTTGGAAGACAATTATTCAAATGGGCACATGGAATGGAACACAATTTGAGTCCACAAACATCAACTAATTTTTCAGTGTGATCGTCAAACTGTCACGTGATGTTATCAGTTCACTCCTATTATAACATATGTTATATTCTAAGTTCATAAAATATCAACAAAATTGTACACTAAGATTCTCCGCAAGAACTTTCTAGCTAGGTTCATACTCTCCGCAGGAACATTCTAGGTTCACACCTCCTTGAGGATGAAATTAAGCCCGCTTCTTATACCTAGTGGCTTTAAATGGGTCTTGGTCTTCTTAAGAAATGAGAAGGTATTTTTTGCTAGGATGTTATGTTCCCATTAGATTTTCGTGAAACATGCATACATGACGTCTATTGGTCCTTGCAGTGCCAAAGTCAATGCCAACAGACAAGTTCTTCTTGACCCCTCGTGAAAATCACATGTAATAGGACCCACATGAGGCCATGTCATAGTCATGGCTACATGTGCTTCAAATTTGTCAAGCTCAAAGCCTAAAATCAAGACTGATAAGTACACATTTTACTCCCCTCTAAAAATTAATCATAATAACAATCAAACTAATATCAATTTGCATATATTATCAGTACATTATCATCAGTAATGGATGGAGAGGCGTAACATCTTATATAATTAATTGCACAACTTTTATGATTCGATGATAGATTCATGCACTCGACATTTCTCTTCACTTTATTGAGAGAGATCCCGAATAAAATTCGTATCCTGAAAATATCATCCACACATTTTTCTCACACACACATCGAGGTGATTAATTACAAACACACCCGTGGAGATGGTCCATCCCATGTATGTCTAATACAATTCTCTCTTAAAGTGTTAAAAACAAGATTTGGTTTGATTTGGTTTGATTTGGTTTGGTTTGGTTTGAACTTTCTCACGAGATTATGAAAGAGAGGACACAATGGAGAAAACAGCCAAAACCACAATACATGCACTTTCTGAAAGATAAACGCTACAGTGGGACCCCACTTTCCATCCGAGTCCCCTGACACTAAGCTGAAGCAGCATGCAGCAAACTGTGTGGGGGCTTCCCGCGGATCGCTCTCCGATCAGGAAAAATTGATTCCTGTGGCATACGTGTCGCCTGACAAACTTGTATTCATTCATATGTATAAAACTGGTACATTTATGCAGTGATATGTACTCACAACGAGTTAATAATAATAATAATGACATTTAAGTCAAGGTATTCTCCATGGACCACGTCCTTTTATAGTGTTATTTGAGGTCCTGGTGTGCAATTTTTACCTGAAGTGGTAATAGCCTCGTTGGTAAAAGTAACAGGTTTTGATCAGCGGTAGGGGTTTTCCTACAAGTTCATCCTTTTTTAGTAGAGTAAAGATTAATTGTAATGATTTAGTTTTCCCATTAAGCAAGAATTTGTATTGAAGATGTGCTTATAACTGAAGGAAAGTACACAAAGATATGTGAGATTCGACCCAAAAAAAAGAGGGTGTTGTCATATTTGATTTATATTTCCTCAACAGTGTGTTGATTGTTGGTTGATTTTGGCATGTTTGACAATGTACCAGATATTGTAGATTGGTATGCCGAAAATCAGCCTATCACTTTCTCTTTCTTTGTGAAATTCATCTCCTCAAATTTGGAACCCAAAATGGGAAAAAGAAGATCGTAACACACACCAAATACAAACTAGCAATAGTCTCTATAGTACAAAGTTATTGTTGAGTTTGTGTTTTGACCATGCCGCCTAAAACCTCCCCTTTAAATTCTCGTCTCTACCTCTCATTTTTCTTAGCCTCCTCTACACCTCTCCTTTTGCTTTGCCTCACAAAAATCAGCAAGAGCACCTCTCTCTCTACCTCTCTCTCTCTCTCTCTCAGAGAAAATCCTCAAAACACTTGCTACATGGGTTCGCCTATGTACGGCTTCCACAGCCAGAACAACATTCTCTACCTCAAACTTTTCTTCATCTTATTATTCATGGGCTGCATACCAGATAGAACAACCAACCTTCCTTCCAATCAACTCCTTGCCACACCAACAAGTTCACCTCACTCTCTTAATCTTACTTCAGCTTTGGAGACACTAAGCCTAGATGGTTACTTTACTTTTAAAAACAACCATCATGCAGCAAAGGACTTTGGCAACACATTTCAATCCCTCCCATTAGCAGTCCTGCATCCAAAATCAGTTTCTGATATCTCCTCCACGATAAAACTTATATTTGAACTGGGTTCTGCTTCAGAGCTTACAGTTGCTGCCAGAGGCCATGGCCACTCTCTTCAAGGTCAAGCTCAAACCCATGGAGGTCTGGTCATCAACATGGAGTCACTCAAGGCACAACAAATGCAGGTTCACATTGGAGAGCAGCCTTATGTGGATGTTTCAGGTGGTGAGCTGTGGATAAATATTCTGCATGAGACTCTTAAACATGGGTTGTCACCAAAATCTTGGACTGATTACCTTCACCTCACCGTCGGTGGGACTTTATCATACGCCGGGATCAGCGGTCAGGCTTTCCGGCATGGGCCACAAATCAATAACGTCTACCAGCTGGAGGTTGTCACAGGTATGTTCACACAGTACAGAGTTGCTTGAAATTGCAGAGCAACAACAAAAACACATAGCACTCATCATATCAGAAAAAGACAATGGTATTCCTTTTTTTAAGTTTTTAAAAAAAAAAATTCATACAAACGATATTGGGGGAGGGGGTTTTTCTCACACACTGAGAAGGTGCCATGGAGATTCAAACCTGAGACCACTAGTCTGCAAGTCAAGGCTCTTTTAACTGGGCTAGACCCGGTTGGCCTTTGTTTTTTCTCCTGGCACTATAATACTCCTTCATACCTCATAAAATATGTTGATTTTATATAATCTTACTCATTTGAAACAATTTCAATTAGCTATGCGACAAAAAGGCGCCGGTAATATAAATTTGAAGTTCTGTTGCAGGACAAGGAGAAGTAATAACCTGTTCAGAGAACAATAGTCCAGACCTTTTTTATGGTGTCCTTGGAGGGCTTGGACAGTTTGGCATCATCACACAGGCCAGAATTTCTCTTGAACCAGCACCAAAGATGGTAAAAAATACACTCCATTTCAAAAGAAGGTACATTACAATCCAAGTGTACATGTATTATAAATTTATAATACATAGTTTATTTATTTTGACAGGTGAAATGGATGAGAGTGTTATATTCAGACTTCTCATCATTTTCCAAGGACCAAGAGTTTCTCATATCATCTGAAAATTCATTTGACTATATTGAAGGATTTGTAATAATTAATAGAACAGGTCTTCTTAATAACTGGAGATCTTCCTTCAATCCTAAAGATCCAATGCAAGCCAGCAAATTCAATTCAGATGGAAGAACACTCTACTGCCTAGAAATGGCCAAATACTTCAACCCCAATGAAACTGATGTCATAGATCAGGTGAGACTTTCAAGGAAATGAAAAATATCCTCCTTATTTCTTCGATGACAGAAAATACAAATATTCATCACTTGGTAAAGTCCTCATTGCAAACCTTTTTGTATGCAGAGAACTGAAAGCTTACTGTTACTTTTGCATTACATCCCATCCACCCTCTTCCTGTCCGAAGTTTCCTATGTCGAATTCCTAGATAGAGTGCATTTGTCCGAGATAAAACTCCGAACGAAAGGATTATGGGAAGTTCCCCACCCGTGGATGAACCTTCTCATCCCTAAAAGCAAGATACATGACTTTGCTGATGAGATCTTTGGCAACATTCTCACGGATAATATCAATGGTCCTATCCTTATGTACCCTGTCAACAAAACCAAGTAACCACTCTACAATTTTATGACTTCTTTAAAAGTCTCAAATTTTCCATATTCTCAACCTTAATTCCTTTATTGTGTTACAGGTGGAACAACAACACATCTTTGGTTACCCCAGATGAAGATGTCTTCTACTTAGTGGCATTCCTATCCTCTGCAGTGCCATCTTCCACAGGAACAGATGGCCTAGATCAAATTTTAACACAAAACAGAAGAATTCTGGAGTACTGTGATAGAGCCCAGCTTGGTATCAAGCAATATCTACCCTATTACAGAACCCAACAAGAGTGGAAAGCTCATTTCGGCCCTCAATGGCAAGCTTTCATACAGAGGAAGTCTTCTTATGACCCTTTGGCAATCCTTGCCCCGGGGCAGAGGATCTTCCAGAAGGCAATACCCATCTTATGACACTGGCAATTTAAAAGAGCCACACAGGAAGTGCCTCACATATCCAGAGCCAATAATCCCCAAAACTACAGTACAGTCATGGCAATTAAATTAACATGTCCTTGGATTTCCAGTTGCATAGTAAGCAAAATAGGGCCCCTTTGGATTGTCTGATAAATTGCGTTCAAACTTATAAGCATCAAATACAAACCCAGTGCATGTTGTAAATAGATTTAGTGACTGTATTCCAGTAAAGGGTGTCCTTAGCATATATTATGAAGCCCATTTTAGTTTCGTGGTTATTTTGACAAAGGGTCTCATGTCCCTTCCAAGAAAATATCAGAGAATTTACAAAATAAAAAGGTGAAAACCTGAAATTGAAATACAGCCAAATTTATGTTACCATAGTCTGCATACATTGATCCTTTAGTACTACAAGCAAAAACTAGCAAAATCTTAAGTGCAACAAACTTACATATATGGTGGCTTGTAGCAACAACACAGTTATTTTGTTTCTCTAGCTTCTTTCCAGCCAAGACCTGGTCTGCAGATATCCCCCTGTGGTTCTTCATAGCCTCTAGCGTCACGTATTGCAGCTTCAAAGTCAGTAGAGTCACTTGCAACAGGAAGAAAACTACTCATATCATCTCTAGCACCGAAGCCTCCAGCCCGCATGACATCCTCAGCTGTTATTGATGCCTCCATGTTCACTTCAGCAGAGGCATCTATATCTGCAGAAGATGCATCATGTGCAATATTTTCTCCACGTTTCCAATCAGTCACATTAGCTCGCACTTTATTATCTGGGAAACTAGAGAACGGTTTCAACACATCTTTCCCATCAACCTTAGAGATATTGGACGCAGATACTTTGTTTCTTGTCTTCTGTTCATCCTTATCTGGTTAAAAACTCAAACCTCAATTTGGCAAATAAACTAGCATGTTCACAAATCTAGATACATAATAAAGATGTGGAATAGGAAAAAATTATATCAATCACACTATTTCCAATAACATAATATAACCGGCAGTGAGGTTAACATATGTTACTGATGACATAGTTTTGATGGGCAGTTCTAAAGACACTTATTGGAAAACTTTAAACATGGAGAAATTTCTCATAATCAAATTCTTTAACAACTAGTAGAATTAAAATAGCATATATGGAATGAAATTCAATAAAGACGAAAACGATAACAGTTTAGTAACAATTCAGAAGTAGAGCAACGCCTAAACATATCATTTTCAATACTAGAATCAGTGAGTCAAAATATGAGAGAAACAGATGACAATGTAATAAGGGGAATGGAACTGTCACTGTATGGACAAAATGGAAACAACTTGGCGGCACCGTATATGATATAAGCATACAAAATAGTTTAAAAGAGAAGTTTTACAACCATTACCGGTGCAAAGCTACTGTTTATATATGGAGCAAAATATTGTGCATTAAAGAAAAAGCAAAAGCAAAGCGTCCATAGAACGGAGATGAGAATGATAACATGGCAGATAAGAGTAGCTCTAATGACAATCAGTGTACCAGAGAAACAATCTACTAGTGATAAGAAAGAGAAACCAGTTTAGGTGGTATGGAAATGATCAACTTAGACCACCAAATGCACCTTTAATCAACGAAAGCCTAATTCAAGTGAAAACGGCCAACCAAAATTACTATGGATTATGGAAGAAGTAATAAAGAAAGATTTCAACCTAAATTTAATGGGAAATAATGCATATGATAGAACAACAACAAAATGGACGACAAGACTTCAACGCAGCCAACTTGATATGACCGAGAATCTAGGACGGATCTAAGGATGATGAAAATTTGAGTAATGTTTTAACTTCAGCTTTACTACATAATGCCATAACCTTATTTCAATTTTTTTTAGTAATTAGTTCCATGGATATTATTTAAACTAGAACAAAAAGTTTAGGACAGCCATACTATCATTTCAGTTCCTCTAATGTTATTCCAGATATGAGAAGTTTGTCGAATTTCACAGATGTTAGCAACTTAAACAGAAATGTGCACTTAATACTACTTCATTGTTATACTCTGCTTTATTTACCGTAGATGAACATCTTCAGGATGCAATGCAAGAGTACTTCCAATTCTAAGTAGGGTCAAAAGCATCAAAATTAAATATGCAATTGGCCAGTCTATATTTCAAGCAAATGAGTTGGAAGCCAATTTTACTTTTAATGGCATGTGTGTCTTTTTCTTGATGACATTGACCCTTTAAAGAGTAAATTTCACTTTTTTCAGCAAACAATTGAGTATCATCTTTGGTGAATGTCCTATCATACAGAAAGATTTCGACTCTGAACTTGTAATAGACCAAACAATTTCTACCTAATACATCCTTGAACGCTCGAGCAATAATGTAAGCACAAAGTAGGCCCTCTGAAGGGGATACACAACACGTAAGTGTGAAAATGACAGAATATATCGCAAGCCAGCATACCATCTTAGAGAGGAACATTAATTATCTACTAAGCATAAATTCTTTGATTATGAAATCCATCTTTTCCTAACTCCTTGTCAATCACTATAAAAAGCTTTATCCAGATCAGGAGTCATCAACAAAAAGGTTGGCACACAGTTGTACACAAATCTAATTTTGAAATCAGTCATATTACACTGCAAGTTCAACAAACTAACCATAATTAGTTTTAATGCTTGCAAGAAAAATAAATAAAAGGTTTGAGGAAAGCTTGACATATATACGACAAGTAAGCAAGTACCGTGGAAAACTTCATCCTGCTTGGACTCCATGATGGATCAAATCCTGCAATTCTTCTTCTTTTGTAATTCTCAGTTCACTATAAGACGCTTCGAAGTTTCTTCCAAACAAACCTAATAACAGACTGGTTACTGGAAGATTCTAATGCACAATATGCATTACAATATGGCAATATAATGAGCCTCATTAAATGAGGTAATTTCTTATGCAAGAAGGCATTGCATAAGAGGATATTCATCTTGAAGCAAATAAGTTCACCGTTGTGTAATCTAAGATAACAGTTTACTAACGGCTGGAATACATTGATGTCAACCATCAGAAGATGTAGGGAAAATAATTACACACATAGACATGGATATACAGAATATAATAGAAGTGTAATAGACAGAATCAATACCCATAAAGCATGATTTAGTATGTTTTTTACAGCAGGGAAAATTAGAAAGAAAAAAGAAAAAGTGGTTTCATTTTTTTATATATAGGAAACAAGAGTTCTGCTGGGAAAAAAAAACAGAAATATAACAGGGAGATGGGCAAGCAGTCCAGCAAGCCCACGCCAACTTAAAGCAGACAACAAACAGACCACATTCAGTACAGAACTCCTACCCAGTCAAAGGAACATTCTTCAAGAGCTTAGACAAAGATGCCCAAAAGGAGGCAATAATCTGTTCATGTAACCCTAAACAAAATTCAACTTTGGTTTATGGACTTCATGGGAGATGGACATCTTTCATTTCATGGGTCATGGCAATAATAATGCGACTGTTTTGGTCATATTTTTTCTTCTTTTTTCTCGTGTTCATGTCTATGTGTGTCTGTGACAATCAGTTTTAGGAAAAGTAACAGAGTTGCGTACCTGGAACCGATGGGAGAAAAACTCGAGAGAGAGGAGCCCTGTGTTTTTTGGGCCACCTTCTTCTTCTTGTTCCAAAACTGAGAAGATGAGAGGGTTTATCGACTTATCGAGTGTCTGCTTGATATTGATTTGATTTTAAAAGAAAAATTGCGGTTGGTCAGCGTCAGTCAGAACTAGGAGTTCGACGTGTCGTCTAACTTGCAAGACACGTTCTTCAGTCCTTGACAATCTTTATTTTGCATTTCTGCAATGCTGGTGGGAAATGATTGGTGGGGCACCTCCGGCAGAGATATTGGGAAAGTGCTGAGAACTAGTCTTTGCTCTATTGATATTTGTCAGTTTCCATTTACATGTACAGTATGATAATGACGATATATATTTGTGGTGTAGTCTTATTGGGGGGTTTATTGGTCCATAATCCCCTCAAGCTCTTCATCCCCCAAGCACCTAAAACTTTTTCCAAACACATCAAAACACAAAAATGCATATTTGGATCTCAAATATGAATCCAGCTAAGTTGAGAAGAAATTATATAATACTATGATATTATGTGAGTGTGGGCATTCAACCGAAAAACCAAGTCAAATTGGACAAAAAAATCTAAATTGACTAAAAATGGACCGCGTTCACCAAAAATCAGACCGATTTGGTCCAATTTTGGTTCTGATTCTTGTAGTGAAAAACATATTGAGCTGAACCAGACAAGGTGTGTATTTTTTTTTAAGGGTAAACTACAGTAAACTCCCCAACCTATAGGGTCATTTACGAGTTCATACCTGATTTTGGGGACATTTACGAGTACATACTCAACGTCGCAGAAAACTTACAGTTTGCCCCATCCGTTAGCCAAACCGTTAGTCTGTTAAATGCTGACGTGTTAAAAGTGGGACCCCTTTTTTTGATGACGTGGACTTTCACGTGGACTAAAAATTAATAAAAAATTTATTTTTTAAATTATTTTAAAAAATTAAACATATTAAATTAAATTTAAATTTAAAAAATAAAAAGACAACAAAAAAAAAACCCTACCCATATTCTCTCTCTCTCCCGATCTCCTCTCCTCCTAGCCCCCAGCCACCCAAACCACCACCCAAGCTTACTCAGGCCACCTATCCTAGCCTTAACACCTCTCTTGTTCCAGCCCAACCCATCACCTCCCCCATGCCACAGATCTGATCGTTTTCCCTAAAACCTGATTTCCTCCATCACTTCGCGAAGCTTTAGTTTGACGTCATCCTGACGATTGGTCTCTGTCAGAAGATTTTGGAGCATTCCAATCACTAGATTTATTACCCCCTGTTGATTGTTCTTCAACATTCTCTTTCTTTGCCCCTCATCCTTTGCTCCAACCCGATCCATTATTCTCAACATATGCAAATTCGATTAGCGTTTTGAGTTTGCAAGATTGTTCATTTATTACATATCGTGGATTGGGGTTCTTGGCAAATGGGTCTTCCTCAAAAACCATGAAAAGGTTGAATCTTGCAGAGTGTGATAGAATCATAGACTTCGGGGTCATGTTTTTGGAGAAAATGTGTTGTTGGGCTTGTTTGTCAAGGGGGGAGGCTGGGTTTGTGGGGGTGGCTGGGGCTCGTGGATTGCGGTGTGGCTGGGTTTGCAGAGGGGCTGGGTTCATGAGTTGCAGGGACGCTGGGTTTGTGGATTGTAGGGTGGCTGGGGTTGCGACAAGGCTAGGTTCATGTGAATTGTGTTATATTTAGCAGATGAAATGGTGATGGGTTGTTGTAATTGATGTTTTAAGTTGGGTTCCAAATCTGGGTTTGCAAATATAAGGGCAGAAGAAATGGTGATGGGTTGTTCTGCTGCCATTGTTGTGAGCTTGCTTGAGTAGAATGTTGGGTCTAGGAAGGGGTGGGCAGAGACCAAAAAAGGGGATGGGGCAAAGACGGTGAGGGGGCTGGGAAGGGGTGGGCAAGGTCATCGTGATGGTTGGTTGGGTTGGAGAAGAGAGATGAGATTTGTTTTTCTTTTTTTATTCATTTTTTAATGATTTTAATATGATTTAAAATTTATTTTTAACATGTGCATTTTTTTTTTTGTCCACATGGAAGTCCACGTCATCAAAAAAATTGGGTCTCACTTTTGACACGTCCGCATTTAACAGACTCACTAACAGTTGGGCTAACGAATGGGGCAAATTGTAGGTTTTCCGCGACGTTGAGTATGTACTCATAAATGTCCCCAAAATCGGATATGAACTCGTAAATGACTCTATATGTTGGGGGGTTTACTGTAGTTTACCCTCTTTTAAAAAAAAATTAATAAAATATTTAAGCCCAATGCTAAATTTATAAGTTCATAACTAATTTTTCCCCAAGCCCAACTTCAAATCACCTCTCCTGTCTAGGTCTAATCACCTCCCTTTGCATAAAATTGGGCCATTTGTGAATTTTTAAGCTCAAAAAATAATAATTTTGTATATAAAAAAATTTAAAAATTCTTGTCCAAAACCGAAAAATTGTAAAACGAACCAAATTATGAGCAAACTGGGCCAAACTGATTTTATAATGTTTTTTTTTTGTCAAAATCGAATCGAATCGTATAAAACCCTAAGGGTAAATTACTCAAATGGTCCTCAAATTTGTACGCGATTTACATTTTGGTTCCTAAATTAAATTATTAGTACAAATGGTACATAAACTCTATTTTAATCGCCCATTTGATCCAACCATTACATTTTGTCAATATTGCTGTTAAATATGAGGGCAAATTGGTCATTTCGTACGTTAAAATAAAAAAATATTGAAAAATAAAATAAAAACTCTCTCTCTCTCTCTCTCCATTCCCCCATGGCCACCACCCTCAAGCTCCAACCCCCAAACCCATCCCACAACCACTCTCCACCCAAACCCATCCAACAACCACCCTCCACCCTAGGCCCCATGAACCTAAAACCCCAGCTCCTCTCCACCCTCCACCCAAGCTAGCAACTACAAAAAAAGAAAAGAAAAAATTCTTCCACAAACCCCATCCCAACGAATCCAGAACCCCAACTCAACAGCCATCCAGACCCTCTCTCCCTCCCAACAAACCCACGATTCCATTCATACAATCCCATCTCATCTGCCTTAAACTCAAAACCTCCACAAAAGCCCAAACCAACTAACCCAATTCCCTCAAAATCTCCCAATTCTCTCTCACTCAGCTCCACCAGGACAACCCCGAATTTGAAGGCTCCATCAGAGCCTAATTCAAGCACTAACGCTTGTATTAAAGCACCCACAGCTTCATGGATGAAGGGTCCTCTTCTTCTTCAACCCCATGACTTCTCAAAACCCCGAAACAAGAAGACCCACAATAATGCCAAAGCCGAAAAGCTAGATACTGTGCTGGCTGGGAAGTTAGTTGGCATTAGAGGCGATAAAGCAATCAAGCAAATTGTCCAAAGCATTGAAAGGCTTGGACCAAACCAGAAAACAGATGAAACCCAGAAAGGTTTTGGGGAATTTAGAATTTGGGATTCCTTGGAGGGACTTGGGCAAAATGAAAAATGGGATGAAACCCACAAAGATTTTGTGGAGTTTGGAATTGGTGGTTGCTTGGAGGAACGCAGTAATTGGAATATGGGAGAATAAATCAAAGGGTGGGGTTTTGTTTTTATGATGATTTTTTCTCTCTTTTTCTTCAATTTTTTTTTCTAATTTTGTATTTATTTTAACCCTATTTTATTTGTTAATTATGAAAAGTCGTATTTGCCCCTAAAATTTGGTTACATTTAACAGAAAATGTAACGGTTGGATCAAATGGGTGATTAAAATAAAGTTTATGTACCATTTGGACTAATAATTTAATTTATGGACTAATAATTTAATTTAGGGACCAAAATGTAAATCACGTACAAGTTTAAGGACCATTTGAGTAATTTACCCAAAACCCTAAATCCATATGATAATGAGAGCGCGGATCAGTTCGAAACTGTAGAGAGCTCTTCTGTTAATCGAACTAAAGACTTTGGCAAACTTCGAATTGGTTAACCTAACATTCGGTTCAGATTGGTTCAGTAGGTCGGTAGTACCGTAATAAAAACATACTAATAAAAATAAAATTTATAATAATTTCACATAACATAAGTTCTTGAACAAATACACCAAATTATCCTTGTAAAATATAAAAATTCAATAGTCTAATTCATCCAAGTACAAAGTCAAATAACTTAGGGGTGTATTCAATTGAGATTTAAAAAACTATTTCAGGATAAATAAGTCCAATGAATTTTAAAAGCCTATTTAGGAATGTAATGACTTATAAGATTTCATTTATGGATTTCTATAATCATGATTTTTCACTTTTGGATTTTAAAAGATTTATATCATAAGATTTTATAAGATTTAAAAGGACCACATGGATTTATATCATATGATTTATATCTAGGCCTTGGCTAATTAGGGCTATATAGCCCAACCCAAATTTTGAAACGCGTGAAAGAAAGAAAAAAAGGTAGCCCATGTACAATCTAGTTGCAAAGCTACTTGTTGAGGAGTGCTTCTATAGTGAGTGGAAAGTTATAAGGGGTTTTTTTGAGGGGTATGTAAGAGCCGTTGGATTTCATCCAACGGTGAGTTTTTAAAAGAGGGTGCATGTAGAACCGGGTTGAAATCTGACCCGTTTGGAGACCCAACTTCAGCTGAAGATTTTTCCCTCTCTGTGAAAAACTCAAGAACACAATCCTCTCTTTTTTAATGTAATGCAAATCCACAATTAGAAAGATCCAAAGCTCCCAAACTCTATAATCGCTCCATTGTCATCAGCTCCTTGGGAGGCCTGCGATCTATGGTATCCTCGGTATGATGATTAATGGCTTTTACCTAGCTATTGCCCTGTTTTGATTCTATGATTGAAGTGAAAACCCCTTCTCTTTTTCGTTCAGCAGAAGAGATTCCAGATGAAAGCAAAGTAGCATATCTCTTTTTCGTGCTGCTGCAGTTGTTCCTGGATTTTGGTAGAGATGGAGTCTCCACTACGAAAGAATCCTCTCTAATGTCCACCACATTCTTTGAAGCTGACTGAGTTCGGAACTCCCGATTGACTTTGAGAGGTAAGTTCACTGTTGCTGGATTGATTTTGTTGGGTTTGATTTGTTTTTTGTGAGGGTGAGAAATTTGTCATTTGTGGCATCAATAATGCGTCATTTGCTCTGCTATCAATAATGCGTCATTTGACTTTGAGAGGTAAGTTCACTCTTGCTGGATTGATTTTGCTGGGTTTGATTTGTTTTTTATGAGGGTGAGAAATTTGTCATTTGCGGCATCAATAATGCGTCATTTGCTCTGCTATCAATAATGCGTCATTTCCTTATGAATATTCAATATACTTAGTTGATTATTTTTGTTTGGAGGGGGATTGGAAAATTATGAAATGTAGGTAAAAGATCCTAAACTTAGGCTTAATGGCATTAGAAGTAAGCATTTGGAGAGGATATTGGGTGAAGTTCTGTAATTGCTGGTTTGAATTACATTTGAGTTCTTAGTTGAACATGTTGGTTCTAAGGTTATTTTTTCCAGATTATTTCACAAGAGATGACGTAACTATTATTAAATTTTGCTTGTGTTTTCTGTAATCAGAATCCAACAAGCTAAGCTATGCGTGTATTGTGTCAATTTGGGCAATGTTTTGTGTAAGTGGAATGCATTGATAAGTTGTGATGCAGTAATGATTGATTAATGAATTAACATTTGCTATGCAGTAATATAGAAGTAGATCAATAATATACGTGGATAAAATGTCTGGGGGCTCAGAGAGTGATGACTCTGTAATAGCTAATGGGAGGGTTTACATTCCTGAAGTAAGAAATGAGGAAACACCAGCAGTTGGGATGAAGTTCGACTCGCTTGACCTCGTTTATAATTTCTATAATAGATATGCATTCTTGGCTGGCTTTGGTATTCGACTTCATTCCAGCTTTTGGGGGAAAAATAAGAAAGAGATTCTGAGAAAAGAATTTGTATGTTGCAAACAAGGTGCATACCGGAATGATGAAACTCGGGAGAGAAAAAGACAGCGGGGAATAAGTAGATGCAATTGCAAAGCTAAGATTGTGGTTGTGAAGACACATGGGAGCAAGAAGTATACCATCTCTCTTTTTGCAGAGGGACACAATCATAAGATGACACCCTCAGGAAGAATGCATTTACTGAGATCACACCGTCGTATTTCAGATTCTACAAAAGTACTTACAAAACAGTTGGGTTCGGTTAATATTCCCATTAATCAGAAGGTAAGTATTTTCGAGGTGCAATCCGGAGGAATGGATAAAATTGGTTTTATCAAAAAGGATATGTACAATCTTGAATGTAGTGTGAATGAGAAGCTGAGGAACCACGATGTTGAACTAGTGACCGAGTATTTTATGGCTGAACAGAAAAAAATGAGGCTTTTTATTTCAAGATTGAGGGAGATGGCGATAACAGGTTTAGTCGATGTTTTTGGGCAGATGCAACTTCTAGACGGGCGTACGGGTTTTATGGAGATGTTGTTGTATTCGATACCACATTCAACACGAATAGATACGACTTGACATTTGCACCAATGTTGGGAGTTAATAACCATGGTCAAACAATTGTCCTAGCATGCGCATTTTTGAGCAAGGAAACGACTGAGTCGTTTATTTGGATGTTTGAGGAGTTTAAGAAAGCCATGCCAGGTGGCGAACCTAAAACGATCATCACAGATCAAGATGCGGCAATGAGCAGAGCGATTTCAATAGCCTTCCCGACTACATTTCATCGACTTTGCATATGGCACATCACATCAAAGTTCTCTGTTAAGTTACCACATTCTGCTTATAAGGAGTATTGGGGTGAATTCCAGAAAGCCATATGGGATACTGACAATAAGGATGAGTTTGATGCAAAATGGAATATTGTGGTTACAAAGGCTGGTTTGACTGACCATCCATGGCTAAGTTCAATGTTTGATTTAAGGGAATCTTGGGTTCCAGCCTACGCACGACACTTTTTTGCCGCTGGAATGTCAAGCAGCCAAAGAGCTGAATGTTCTCATGGTTTCTTCAAGCAATACATATCAAGGAAAAATTCGTTGATGGATTTCATAATAAGATTTGAGAGGGCACTTTCTCATCAACGTCAAAAAGAGTTAGTTGCTGATCACGTAGATGCATTTGAAGTGGCTCAATGTATTCTACCGATGCCAATGAACAAACAAATGGCTACCTTGTACACAAGGACAATGTTTCAAAAGTTTGAGCAAGAACTAATACAAAGTACAGCATGTTTCCTAGAGCTGAAAACAGAGGATGCTTCTAAAGTTGTCTTTAATGTGAGCGAAAGGAAAAATTGGGAAACAAGAGTGGCAGAAGTCGTATATGTCAAAGATTCTGACCACGCATCGTGTAGCTGCAAAAGATTTGAATTTGTTGGAATTATTTGCAAGCACATCCTAGCATTGTTCAGAAGGGACCAGATTGAATATATGCCCGATAAATACATTTTGAAGAGGTGGAAGAAAACTGCGAAATTTGGATTGGTGTCAGATGCAAATGGCAACGAAATTAAAGACTCTGCAGATCCTGGTCTTTTAATAAAGCGGAGTACAATGTCCCGACTTGCTTCAGATGTGGTTGAGGATGCATTAATGTGTGAAGAAGGATGTGAGGTACTGTCAGAGACTCTAAAAAGTTTGCAGGTGAAGTTGAAGTTGTTGAAGGATGGACCAAGTAATAACGAAGTTGGAGGGTCCAGCTCTCAAACACAATATATGAAAGACCCTAAGAGAGTAAGGTGCAATGGAGGTCGAAACGAGTAACGGGAGCAAAGGAAAAGGCAATGAAGCGAGGGATTAGACACTGTCGGGAGTGTGGACACATTGGTCATGATAGAAGACAATGCCCAAGAAATTTGAACACACCGTAAGATGTTAACACTATTTATAATAAGACCTAAAATTTGAATAGGTAAAGTTCTTATGTGCTTCTGTTTGATGTTTATGCAGGACATCACCGTCGAACAATGACGAATCAACTCCAATAGATCTTAGTGACCCATTATTTGACGAATTTTACAGGATGCACGGACCAACTCAATGATTTAGGTTTCTATTATACGAAGCCCGGTTATTATGAAGACTAATGATCAGGTGAAGTTTTGTAGATGCAGTTTTATTATTATTAATTTGTTGTTCATGTCCACCGATGAGCTCTGACTATGTCCATTGATAATTAAAATGAAAATTTGCTTGGTTTCATTCTTGCATGAAATTTGGACACATGTTAATTTTACGTCTTCTCCCTATTTAGAAATTTTCATGGACATTAGATAAAGCATCAAATTTTGATTTATGTGAACAAGCAATGACTTTTACCTTGTAAAATGGGTAGTTTATGGTGAATTATGTTTGAATAGAGATTTATTGATTATATGACAGGCTAATGCAGCATTTCCAGCAGCCAGCTATTGTTTCCATTACCAGTAATGATTTCCAGCAGCACGCATCATTTGTAGCAGCACCCACTTTTTGCGAATGTTATGTTCTAGTGTTTTACTGGTGATTAAGATCTGAGCTGGACTGGTTATTAGGTGCACGATTTTGCAAACATTCGTAGCTGAAGGATACTTGAAGCACTTTGTTGGAACAGAAATATTAGAAAGCAACGTGTAAAAAAGTACATTGCAGCTAATCACATTTCGAATGGTTGGGTAATATTAAAGGGTACACTAACATTTGAACTACTCATAATTCCACACACAAAAGAAAATTTGATTGCAAAGCATTTTATGTGCTCCCTCTTAGCAATAGCACGATCTCCCCAATAAACTGAACAACGGTAGCCACAATCACTAGGTCGTATTGGTCAGCTTCTTCTTAGCAGGTCTCGCGTGCTTATGGTCACTCATGTCCCCAGTGATTTAGACAAAATAAATATTCAGCAATATTTGGAATTTTATTATATATACATAAACCATAAACCATTCACTACACAATGTATAGCACATGGCATTTTACTTATGACTCACGTGTCATGATAATGGGGCTTTACTGATTACCAGGGTGCTGTGATATTGACTGCTTATTGAATAATATTTCCATAGTTGCAAAATATAATGTTAGACAGAAGGAACACATGATGACTTGCAAGACATAGTCCCAATAATTATATATGAAGCAAATGAAACTGATATTTGTATTATTTTATATTAGATAATGACATTAAGGGAACATAGTTCTAATTTGTGCAATACCACGATCACCCCCAACCAACAGAACAGCTGTAGCCGCAATCACTTAGCCGTATCGGTCGGCTTCTTCCGAGCAGCTTTGACGTGCTTATGCTCATTCATTCGCTGTAGTCACCCCCCCCCTCCCCCACCCCCCCCCCCCCCCCCACATAGTTACTCGCATCTATATAACAAGGCACAGGGGAAACATAGTCACAATTAGAACTTGTATGAGTTGTTAGCGAGAATGCTCGGATTGTTCGACATTCGTGTGATGACAAATACCAGTTGCATTGGTGATCTTGCAGTTTTTTTTTTTTTTTTTTTTTTTTTTTTTTTTTTTTTTTTTTTTTTTTTTTTTTTTTTTTTTTTTTTTTTTTTTTTTTTTTTTTTTTTTTTTTTTTTTTTTTTTTTTTTTTTTTTTTTTTTTTTTTTTTTTTTTTTTTTTTTTTTTTTTTTTTTTTTTTTTTTTTTTTTTTTTTTTTTTTTTTTTTTTTTTTTTTTTTTTTTTTTTTTTTTTTTTTTTTTTTTTTTTTTTTTTTTTTTTTTTTTTTTTTTTTTTTTTTTTTTTTTTTTTTTTTTTTTTTTTTTTTTTTTTTTTTTTTTTTTTTTTTTTTTTTTTTTTTTTTTTTTTTTTTTTTTTTTTTTTTTTTTTTTTTTTTTTTTTTTTTTTTTTTTTTTTTTTTTTTTTTTTTCCCCTGTTGTGGGTCAAAAACTGATATAACTTCCGGGGGCAGGAAATTCGTTTGCACTAAGAGCCCCATGGGGAAGCAGCCTAAGCTACTCTTTCCAATAGATGTACCAAATGCACCAACACTAGGGCAGAATATGAAGCCTTAATCATTGGCTGGCTACTGTAGAATTAGGAATCCAGTTGTGGAAAAGTAGGGAGATCCAATTGCTGGTTCAAGAAATGCGGGGAATACAAGTGCCTAAGAGCCTCTTGGCTGTGTCTACTTAGTGGCAGCTAGAACAATATTCTGACGGCAATTCAGAGATCTCACGAGCACAGCGAGGCCAAGTGGGAACAAATCACCAAGAGTAAGAGAATTTTGCAGACCAAATGAATATGCGCCATGGTGCGCAACAGGCATACAAATAAACGAAGATTGTGTACAAGGACTCATCAAGCTAGGAAAGAAAAGGTTAACCATCGGTTCTGGCCCAGGGAATGGAGATAACTGTCAACTCTGCGCACAAAAAGCCTGCAGATGCTGGAAGGAATCCTATCTGACGTATCTGCGATATTCCACCTTTGCACTTCTGAGAAAGCACAAGTCAGAATCATGCTTTAACTCCCTGATGTGGATGAAGATTGGTCCGAAAAGAGTAAGGAGAGGTGCTTTTAAGGGTGCGCGAGGGAGAAAGAACAGAATACACTGATAAGTTATGGAGAAACCCATGAAGGAATCGTGGAGCCATCAAGGTGGAGAAAAATGTCTGGTTCATTAGGAGATATGGCTACTTCTGGCCAACACATGATGACAGATTGCATTAACTTCAATTCCAAGGTTGTGTGAATCTTGTCAAAGAACCGACCCAGTCCAGCAGCGCTCCATCAGTTCCCATGAATCCAGTGGTAAACCATGGCCCTTTAGAGGATGGGCAATGGATCTTATTGGCAAGATCTATCCAGCCAGCAGCCAGCAGCACTGCTTTATCATTGTTGCCACAGACTACTTCACCAAGTGGGTGGAGGCCAAGGCTGTTAAATCCACTACATCTCAAGAGATCATCATTTTCATAGAAGAACAGATTATCCAAAGATTTGGCATCCCAGAATCAATCACAACTGATAGAGGATCATCTTTCATATCTAGAGAAATGCTGGACATGGCAGAGGCATTCAAATTCAGACTGCTCCAATCCACTCCTTATTATGCCCAAGCCAATGGACAGGCGGAATCAAGCAACAAAGTAATCATCAACATTATCAGGAAAATGCTTGAAAAGAATCCAAAACAGTGGCATGAGAAGCTGTCAGAAACTCTGTGGGGCATATAAGACTTCAAAGAGAGAAGCGACTGGCATGACTCCCTACGCGTTAACCTACGGTCATGATGCAATTCTGCCTATGGAGATAGCTGTTCAGTCCCTCAGAATTGCTCACCAACATGACTTAGTAGGAGAAGACTACTCCCAGGCCATGCTGCTGGAACTGGAAGGATTGGATGCAGCCAGAATTGACACTCTCAACAAACTCCTGGCAGGAAAACAGGCTGTATCAAGGGCCTACAACAAAAGAGTCAGGAACAAGAGTTTTGAAGAAGGGGAGATAGTCTGGAAAGCAGTTCTGCCCCTTGGAACACATGTGGGCTGGTTATGGAAAATGGTCACCTACATGGGAAGGTCCTTTCATAATCAGCCAGATCCTTGGAATGGGGGCATATAGGTTGCAGGATAGGGATGGAGAAGTTCATACGGCCCCGATCAATGGCAAATGGTTAAAAAAGTTTTATCCAACCATGTGGGATTCACAGGCTGTACAAACAGACCCGGGGATAGACACAGGAGTTAACTAAAAATCTTTTGAAAGTTACCCTTGTTTTTACCTTAAGTCTATCCCTTTGTTGTATTCCTACTTCTGTTTTCCATTCGATCCATCCATAGAAATAAAATGAACTTTATTTAAAAATAAATAAACCATGGGGCCTTCCCCACGGCAAGCTGTTCAGAAAAGCGAAAATAACGAAATTAAAATCCTAGTTTTCTAAGAGTCTCCTGCAGGTTAGTCTTCTTGGTAGAAAGTTCCTTTTGGAGCAGCACACCCTGATGAATTGAAGCTTCTGCAATCTCCAGGGCAGGCCTAGAAGCTGCAACCATGTTCTGCACAAGGAAAGTAGCCTTGGTCTTAGAACTCAATCCAGCCCCGAGCCTGTGCTGCACTTCCCGACGCTCTGCCAGCTGCTTTTGAAGTTCTGCAATCTCTTTTTCCAATTTATCCCCAGCAGCTTTGGCTTCTTTATACCCCGCAACCATCTGGTCCAGTTCTGCCTTCTGCTTTGCAAAATCAGCCAAGTTGGCTTCATGAGTGGCCTTGCAGAACTCAGAGGTTTCGAAGGTAGGCTTCAGGTCTTCATAACGATCGTGAAGGTTGAGCACGTCCCTTGCCAAGACAAGACTCATCTCAAGAATGGGTCTTGGGGCCATGTTCTGTCTATGCAGCAAATCCAGATCCTTCATCAACTGATCAAAGGCCTCTCTATCCTCATCCAGCTCCAATTCAGCAGACTGCCAGATCTTCAGTCTCTCCATTGCTTCTTCCACTGCCCTGGACTTTGTCTTACCAACAGGAGAGCTGAGTTTTTCCAACCTATCCAGCTGGGCATCTAGGTCCCTGGCTTCAAATTCTGCCAGCTCCGGGTCAGCAAAAGAAGTCGTGGCAGATGAACCTGCAAGAGAATGAATAGGCATCTGCAGAAGGAAGCATAAGGTCAAGAACAGGGCAGAGACAAGAAGAAGAAGATAGAACCGCAAAAAAACACTCACTGCAACAATCGAGGCTGTAAGGGGGTGGTCCTCACCGCCAAAGTCCCAGCAGTTCTTTGTGCTTCCACCTGTAAAGATTCGAGGGTCAGAAGGGACCAAGGGACAGAACGAAATGAGAAACGACAGAATAAGGACAGAACTCACCACAAACCCAGGAACGACAGCAGCCACTCCTGCTACAATTTCAGGAGTAGGAACCACTTGTTCTGCCTGATCCCCAGGCTCCGATCCGGATTGTTCCACTTGGTCCTCAGCTGCTGGAGCGGCAGTGGAATGTTTCTGCCTCTGGATCATCAAAAAGGGCCACCTCTGAGTTGGTCAGCCCTGCCCCTATATCTTCCTGCTGCTTCCGAGCCAAGGCAATGCTCTCCGCTATCACCTCAGCAGGAATTTCCTCCTACAGAATGCACGGAAGTCAGAACAGAATAGATCAAGGTGCAGCAGGAACAAATGCTCCCAGATATAAAATACAGACTCACCTCCTCCTCCACTGACTTGGCCTTCTCCTGGGGCTCCTCTCCTACCTTTTCCAGCTCTTCCAGCTCCCTTTCTTGCTCCACAGCTTCGAAAGCCTCTCTCAGATCATCATCCGTGCCGGAAGTGGTGGTAGGAACTGCCCCAGTTCCCTCCGGGGCCACGTATTCTTCTGCAATCTTCTTTCTAAGTCTTTTTGACTTAGTAAGAGGAGGAGAGGGACCTCCAACTGCAAACAGACAGAATAAGTCTTAAAAATAAAGACAGAACAAGATTATGAAGAAATCAAAAAAAAGGGGAGAAATCATCAAAGAATACCTGGAGCCGCAGACTGGGCAGTTTCTTTTCTTTTCCTTCTGACGGGAGAAGTGGCCTCAACAGGAGTCTGTTCTGCCTGATCTCCCTCTTCTTCTTCCTCCTCTCCATCCCCGGAGGGCAACTCCAGATCTCCAGCAGCAATGACAGAATTGACTATGCAGAAGACAAAAGTCAAAGGTCAATCCAGTAGGGAGTAGCCAAAGACTGGACAAAAAACACAACTTACCAAACACCTCTCCGCTTCGGGCTGGTTGACTGCCTATATTCTTTGTCAGAGAAGGATCTGAGTACAGATAGAAAGGATTAGCATCATCACTAAAACACAGAATAGGCAACAACAGACAGAATAGAGAGATTACCTTCTATAATTTGCATGTTGATGTCTTTGATGGTCTGCACCATGAATCTGTGAGTCTCGTCGTCTGAATGGACATTCCAATTGTCCCAGCCTTTAAAAAGGACTTGAAGTGCGGTGCTAGAAGCAGGCAGATCACGGAATCTGGCTTTCCACCAAGCATCAAACTCCACAGAACTGCAGGAGTTCAATTCCCAGGAAGGATAAAGGGCATCTGCACTGTTGTTAATCTTGTTCACGGCACACCTGGCGTCTTTATGGACCTCCAAGTCATCTGCATCCCTCCAAGAAGAACCCCCGATTGCAGCTTCTGTATGACTTGAGGGGTATGAGCTGAGGACAGCCAAGCTGCCTTGCACAGAAGTTGGGATGGTAGACTTCCGCCCCCAAATGATAATTTGGAGGCTTTCCCCCTCCATGAGGCAGATCCCTGGGTAAGGTCACACTCAAGAACTTCTTCCTAAAATCAGTTCTGGCGGATTCTTCTTTTGGCTCTTTCTCAAACAGACGATGTCCAGGCTGAAACCAAGGATAGGTCCTCCTAATCACCATCTGCCACTGCGCTGCAGACCTCTTGGTGCAATGCCTGAACATCATCAGGTATTCACCAATTGACCGCTTGGGGACTTCTGCTGACAGCAACGGTTGAGCCAGAACTTGGTTCTCAGGCAGAACTATGTCTGGATACCTTAACTCAGGAAAATAGACCTGCAGCCAGATCTGAATCATCCAGAAGGCACCAGGAGCAGACAGATTCAGCGGATACTCCAGAGTAGCGGTATGCAGGTTCTTGAACAGATGGGCCAGAACTGTAGGTCCAAGGCCAACATCAGTGTGATTATGCAGAGCTTCTGCCAGATGTCTGTACTCAAGCAGAACTGCAGAAGAACGATTGGGCAGAATAAACCTGTTCAGCCAATACAGGAGAAACAACATATGCTGCTGATCTTTGTCCTTCTCAGCACTAAATTTTCTAAGATAGTTGGAGAAGGAGCAATTCTGGTTGATCAAGGCTGGGGAAATAGTGAATGGCTTGGCTAGCTTCTGCTGGTCCTTCTTCCTGTGATAATCACCAATGGCATCAACAGGTCTTCCGTGAGGCCTAAAACCAAAAATCTGGGCCATATCCAGCAGAGTGGGAGCCATGGGGCCTATACGGAAATCAAAAGTGTTACTGGCAGAGTTCCAGAAGCACAAAGCAGCAGCAAGCAGATTCTCATCCCTGTTGATAGATTGCCTGGATAGGAGAATGGCGTCATGGATTCCAGCCCGCTTCCAGTGAGCCCCAAATCGAGGAAGAAGTCTGTCAATCCAATCAGCCCACTTGATTGGACTATTTCTCACCTCACTGGATGGGAACGAACGACTCAAATTCTTGCTGACCCAAGAATGAGAAGCCAGGGCAGAAGAGCTCTCGAAACATAGCGGGGCCTCAGCATCCTTCTTCATCAACTCCGCCATCTCGGGAGGAACGGGGCCAAACCAGTGAGGCCCCAGCACCAAGGTGTTTTCAAATAAATGGAGGACATTTTCATCCAGGTTTTTCTGGGCAAAAGGATGGAGCTTGCTCCTAACCTCTATCGCATGACTATCGATTCCAGCCCCAGTAACATAGTCTGGAAGAGCTGGAACAGAGGAAGACTGAGCACGGGATTTCGGGGAAGACATCTCTTGGAAAGTTATTTTTTTTCTAAAAGGGGGTTCACAGGAAGGGCAAGGCAGGATCAAGCAAAAGGAAGTTCTTCGAAAACACGAAGGGAATCAAGTTTGAAAATACTAGGTTTTCAGGTGAACAGGAACAGTGGTTTTCGAAAGACTTTTAAAGAAGCCAGAAAACGTGGGAAAGAGATGACAGCGACGTGGAGAAGACAAAGCGTCAATCTGATAGTGACTAAGCTAATAAAGGGCTAGTAACTGAAGAACTGCGCCACACGAGCACTAGCTTAGTGGGGAAGCGTGGCAGACGTGGGATAAATGAAGGAATCTACCACGCGCCAATTTAATGGCCATGTCATTTAAGTCTGAAAACCGTTTCAAAACGATTCAGACTTAAGGGGGCATTGTTTGGGCCACTAATTGGCATACCCAGCCCAGCAAAATTTAGGCCCAGAATGAAGCTGCAAAAAAATCAAAGAAAGATGGAAGCCCAAAAGCCAGAGGAGACCAGCCCAAAACCCAATATAAAAGAAAGAAGAAAGCCCAGAAGTAGGAACAATCCCACGTGACCTCTCTGAAAAAAGAAAAGTCAGCAATGGCAACTGTCACAGGAAAAGTAATTGAAGGGTTCATAATATCAAGATTGATTCTGGAAAAGCTAAAGATCAAATCCCTCTCACACATACATGATATATATATACATACTCAGAGATTTTTTTCCCTGTCTTTTCAGAAGGTAATTCTCCCAAGGAGATAAGCAAGTTACAATCTCAGGGAGGGATAAGCAGGAAAGTAGGAAGCTGTCCAGAAAAGGAGTCAAAACTAACCATCACCGGCAAAATATCACGAGGGGCAGTTGAAATTGGGAAAGAGATTAGGTTCCTTTTCAAGAAAAATCGGGGAAAGAGATTGCCTATCTGTTGAGAGCCTATCTACCAAAAACTGAGGAAACCTTTTTCTTTCTTTTTCTTTTCCATTTTTTTTAAAAAAAAAGGAAAATCTTTTGAAAGGATTTGCCGCCCATTATTAAAAGAATTACCCTACTCCAGAAGACATCTCTTATAAATACAAGAAGGAGTGAACAGGGCAAAGGACAATCAATCTTACCAAAAATTTCATCACTCAACCAAACAAAGGTCCTACACAGGCAAACCGTCACATAAACAAGCTCAGAGTCGACCAACAAGTCCACTTGAATTTCAAGTGAAAAACCAGTCCCAGATCAGAATGCCCAGAATCCAGACTTAGAAAGCAAGTCATTCAAAACGAGATTTCTCTCGTTACAAATTTGGTTCAGCAAAAACCAACACAAGCAGAGTTTGAGCCTCCTCCAAGTATGGAAAACCCCAGCCAAATTCACGGAATAGCCTCTAGCTCACCAACGTCCTCAAGAACAGCCACTTCTGCCCTTTCAGACTGAAGAAACCGCAGTTCTGCCTACTCAGAAGCTTCGCAAAAGCTTGAGGTACATTAAAGCTCTGCCAGAATCAACCTTTGGCATCGATTTGTAGTTGTCTACGATCCAGTCCAGCCCAGATATTCCCAGTCCAGCCCATCACAGAGCCTCCCATCCAGGCAGAAATGGAGATCTAGCTATCTCTTTATCTTTTTTGCATCGACATGTATTTTTGTAGTCTTGTAAAAGGCACTTCCGCCCAAAAACAGCTTAAATTTCATCAACTATTCTGGCCAGAACAACCTCTTTATACTGAGATAATTGTTAAAGTCCTCACCAGTCTGAGGCAAGAAAAGAACTTACTTGGGAGATATTCCTCACCCAAATTCACAATCGTTTGTTTAGGAAATCAGTAACTTGGGGCGCAAGTTATCCATTCCAGACTGTCTGCTAGACTGTTCATTACTAGCAGTGGCACGCTCGCACACCAAAGAAAGCTGACTTGTCGACCAGTCTATGGTTCTCAAGGCAGTGGGGAACTTTGCCCTTCCATCATAGGAGTAAACACAAAACGGGTGAACAGCACCAACACCTAGCTAGAGGAAAAAAAGCCACGAAGGGGAGGTCTGGAGGTTCCAGCACATGGAGGGAGGAGGTTCCAAGCAAGAAACATTCAAAGTACCAAAAAATATTAGCCTGCGAGCTGCCAGAAGCACCCTTTGAACTAGCATGTATATTCAATTCCTTCCCTCATTAGACCTAGCCTTGGAAGAGGAGAGAAAGAAGGAAGAAAGATGGCTGAAAATAGGAGTCTGAAACAGCCGCGGGAAAGGGGGCCTTGAGCTCTAAAAAATCCCTGATTTTGTGCAAATGGTCAGAGAAGATTTCACCAAAAAAGGATGATTGAAGGGATGAAGGGAGAAAGGAAGGGAAAGACTTGACAAAATGGGATGGAAGCCATTAGGGTTTCTTGGGAAGTGATGGCTTCCAACTGCTATAAATTGAGGCCTTTTCAACCCAACGAAATCAACCCACGTCTAGAGAGCAAGCTTCATCTCTCACCATGAAATCTCTGCAATTTCGTGCCCTATTCCTCCATCTCCTCCCACTTTCCATTTTGCCATGCCATTCTAGAGTCTGACATAGCTTTTGTCTGGCTACTGGAAACTTACCCAAACCACCAAATACTTCACCATTAGCCACAACTCAGACCCAGAGAGCAAGCTTTCTCTCTAATTTACAAAAACCCAGCAACCTCGTGCACTGTTCATCTTCTTCTCCGTTTTGCTCTTCTGGCAGCTGCCGGAAGAACTCTGCTCTTCATTTTCCCTTTCCTAGCCAAATCTTTTACAAAACTTCTCCTTCCTTACCCTAACACTTCCTTTTCCCTCAAAGCAAGCCTAAATTTTCTCTTAGTGCTAAACTCATGTTGATTTTGCTCCTATGCCACATGCCACTCATGCTGAGCTTGAGAGTTTATCTGTAAGCATGAAGAAATTACCTGTAAGCTGCCATTATTTTGGTTGGTGAAGGTAACCAAAATACTTCCTTAGGCTCTACTGCCCTTTCGAGGTATTTTGGGGCTTAATTTTCGAACTCAGGCAAAGGGGACAATTTCATCAGTCTGCCCTTTTACAGCAGCTCAGCCCATTTGTAGCTGCTGGAGGAAAAAGTCCCCTACAGATTGTTTACTAGTTACGTAGGTGAAAGATATATAATCGTATGAAGATTATGCTGATAATTTTCTTTGATAACGGATTCCCTCTTACTGATAAATTCAAAACCCCTTTTCCGATAGTTTGGTCTGTTCTTTGCATATTTATTGTGAATAGAGAACTGTGAGAGAACTGAAAACAGAAAAGCAACACATGCAAATGCAATTCAAAACATGAACCAGGCAAAGCCTCAAAAACCCAAAACACAAATTATCAAAATTACGATCCATTGATTAAATTAAAAACGAACATGGATGGCACTTGACACTCACAAACAGCCACACAATGACACAAACTCACATGTAGAAATATATCCATCACTTTGACTTAGGCACTCTTTATTTCTACTACGTACTTTGTGGATGCACTAGAAAACCCACATGATCTTACATTCCTCAATTTTAATTAACCAGAGATTTCAATGGCTTTGACATCATGCTTCTTTACCTCTGCCTTTGGCACAGTGACACTCAGAACCCCATTCTCCATTGTCTCGAATCCTCAAAGCTTGGCCTGGTCTTCACCGAGGCTCTATTGTTGCTTCCCCTTACTTCACTTGTGCAAATCATGTTTACACCTCTTATTGAGAATTATATATGTGATTTGGTGAAAATGTGTAGGGCATTTTAGTAATGAAATTAATTTGGATTCTGATTCATGAAAATTAGTAAACAATAACAATGGGAATCAACCCCATTCCTTTACTAATTCCGTATGATTAGTAAACAGCTTAATGGAAATGATTCTTCCCATACTGATTCAGTAGTTCCCCGATTCCTAAATTATCTGATTCCTTACTTTCTCCATTACTGATATGTAAACATCCCCTAAAAGATGAAACCCAACAGGGCGCAGGGAGTACATGAAAGACTCCCAATAGGAAAGGGGGTGGGATGACGTCTACATGAAATAGAAAAAAAAGGGTCATTTCAAGCTTAACACCATCACTCCCACTAGCTCCACCACTCCCACCACCATTTTGTACCTAAAAAAGAACGCATGACCCCAGTCCCTTAAGACCATTCAATTCTTCTATGACTTCTCACCCATATACCTTGTTTAAATGATAATTTTCATTAAATAAGAAAAGATGGCTGCAGACATGGAAATTCCTATAAAATAAGATAACACCAATATTCCAGCTATGGAGCATGTGTTCAAATGGAATTACAGTTCTTTGCCTACATGATATTTCAGTTAAAGTGTTTGTGTCAAAAATTGAAGCCAAGGAGTGATTATCCATTTAATCTCAAACTCCTCGAAATGAAGGGCCTATAAGAGAACCATGAAGAGAATAGTTGGGAAAAAAAAAAAAAGAAAAGAAAAAAAAAAAAAAAAAAAAAAAAAAAAAAAAAAAAAAAAAAAAAGAAGAAGAACAGATCGCAAAAAGCTTCAGAAAATGGAAGAGCCATTTCAAGATAAAAAAAAATCTTAGTTTCATGGCACAATTTTTTGGTTTTTATTGAAGATTTCAGGTTTCGTTCAACTCAAGGATTCCTGGCTATGATGTTTTGACAGGACCCGCCCTAAATTCCTCGGAATTCGAGACGAATCCTGTGGAATCCCCGACATCATACCGATGTCGGGCCCACTTCCAGTTCCATATCATCTTTTCCTTAAATTAAGGAAAGAGGGTATGAGACTTTGTGCCAGAAATTCGGCAGAGTCTCCCCTGTAAATTGAACTTTGCCCAAAATTTCAACCTGCAAAAAATCACAATTTAGTATCCCAACAAGCAACATGTACAAAATAGTCTCATGCAAATCATATAATTGGCCTCCGGCCTTCACATAAACGGAAACAGAACCTCTAACAATGTTCTTAACTCAAAATAACGTATTAAACAATGTAGATAAAATAAACGCGAACTCATTTAGGAATGCTCACGGCGAATAACATAAATTAACTTCCCAAATATCCAACATGGGACATCTAACATCCTAACACCAACACAATTAGTTTAAGGCCTCAACCCGAAGTGTACAACAATCCAAAATGGCTTTCAAACCCAACTGGACCACAATCACACCACATAAGTAAAATTTAGTTCGCTGCTTCACCTAGGCACTACCCTAGGTTGCCTACGTACCCTTACTAAGAGATCAAGCCACACGTAGTTCTTTCCACATACAATCCATTACATCAATACAAAAAGATAGACTCTAGAATTTATCCCTTTCTCTTTCTTTTTCTTTAAATCACAACTCACCCAACACAATCTTATCACATAATCTTCCCATACGCTGGAAAATCCAACGCCACATATGGGGTCTGTCAACACGCCGGAAAATCCTACGCCACGTGTGACCTCACAATCATATCACATAATCTCCCCGTACGCCGGAAAATCCAAAGCCACGTATGGGGTCTGTCAACACGCCGGAAAATCCTACGCCACGTGTGACCTCACATTCATATCACATAATCTCCCCGTACGCCGAAAAATCCAATGCCACGTATGGGGTCTGTCCTTACGCCGGAAAATCCTACGCCATGAAGGACCTAACAATCATATAATCTCCCCATACGCCGGAAAATTCAACGCCACATATGGGGTCTGTCAACACGCCAGGAAATCCTACGCCACGTGTGACCTAACCATCACATAATCTTCCCATACGCTGGAAAATCCAACGCCACGTATGTGGTCTGTCCTCACACCGGAAAATCCTATGCTACATGGGACCTAACAATCACATAATCTCCCCATACGTCGAAAAATCGAACACCATGTACAGGGTTTGTCTCAACGCCGGAAAATCCTACGCCATGTGGGACCTAGCAATCATATCACATAATCTCCCTATACTCCGGAAAATCCAACGCCACGTATGGGGTCTGTCCACACGCTGAAAAATCCTATGCCACGTGGGACCTAGCAATCATATCACATCATCTCCCCATACGCCAGAAAATCCAACGCCACGTATGTGGTCTGTCAACACGCCGGAAAATCCTACGCCACGTGTGACCTAACAATTATATCACATAATCTCCCCATACGCCGGAAAATCCAACGCCACGTATAGGGTTTGTCCACATGCCGAAAAATCCTATGCCACGTGGGACCTAATAATCATATATCATTTCCCACCATAAATAATAATATTTATGTTCCGATTTCCCCCAGTTTAAAACAATAAACTAATATCCTAATCCCACATAATCAACATAACTCAACTAGCGATCAAGACCTGCCACTACTGTCATTTTAATCCTCTTGGGAAGGTAGAACTATCTCGGAAGGCTCATGGTCAACCAAGGGTCAAACTACCCAAGCTTGGTCAAACGGGCCCACGGGGCCCATGACCTCCGTTTTACTATCCGACAGTTCCTATGGGTTCCACAAGGTTTAGGATACACGTCCTGCAAGTTTGGTCCGGATCGGACGGTTGGATCACTCACGATCACACGCTCGGACTGTTAATATAAACCTAGCCATAGGGTTGGCATTTCCGGAGTATTTGGGACTCCGTTTTACAATCCGTTGAATCCTACACGATCCTAGGAAAGTCTAGATTAACATATAATAAATTCAAGACTTTCCAACGGTTCAAACCTATCAAACCCGAATATCGCACAATATGTGATATCCGATCGACGAACAAACGATATCCAAATTGAAATCCGAGCACACCTACGCACTCGGGAGGACCAGGAGATTATGTCGGGACAAAATGCCATTTTTATACAGTGCCCACGGGCCGCCACATGCTCTGGCAGTGCTTGGGTGTCTAAAGCGATTATGCTTAATCGTAAAATCTCAAAATCCCGGCTCAAGACTCCTATTCTAGGTATAACACCCTATTTGGAACCACTTTTGTTCTTGGACCTACCCCAAAAAGTGACCGGAAGTGGCCGAAATTGCGATCCCAAAACCGGCCGAAATCCAATTTGGAAATCGGACATCCTAGGCTCAAAATTGATACAATCCCATCAGCTAGATTATGAAGAATGGATGAATTTCCATACCTTGATCGCCAAACGTGGCCGCCGGAGGAGAGATTAAAGCCGACGAAGCTCGAGTGAAAACCGGCCTAAAAATCACATTTTCTGGTGGTTGGAGCGGCGGCCGATGTCAGGGAAGGGCCGGGTCGTGACGCTGGGGCTGAGCCGGTCCTGTTGGCACCGGTCCCGTCTGCAGCCGTGGCCGGTGGCCGGAGTTTCAAAGAGAGAGAGGGAGCTGCCGTTGCGAGGAGAGAGAGAGCACGTGGAGAGAGAGAGAGAGAGAGAGAGAGAGAGAGAGAGAGAGAGAGAAATCTGATTTTTATCAAACCCTTTTTGCAATATTTACGATTGTGCCACTGGTGATGTTTTGCTCGTAACTTCTTCGTTACAGCTCCGATTCAAGTCCACTACGTGTCTACGGACTCATCTCGCCGTGCTCTACGCAATGGTATAGTTGAAATTACCAAATTCCTTCCCAGCCAAAAAGTTAACCTTAAACCTAATAAAATATTCTAGGGGCAAAATGGTCTTTTATTTGAATAAATTAATATTTATCAATTTATTTAGGACCGAGTCATTACATGTTTTTCTATCATCGTAAAAGGGGTCATGAATCTCTCTAAGGGACAGCTCTACTCAAGTATTTCTGCACCTAGTTTTGTTTGATCAATCCACAGAGATTCTTGGCTATGATGATGGAAATCATCATAAACAAAGTTAAGAATCTCTCCAAGGCTTGGATCTACTCAAATAATTCCAGCAGTTTGTTTGATCAGTCCACAGAGATTCTATGATGATTGAAATCATCATAAACAAAGTTAAGATTCTCTCCAAGGCTTGGCTCCGCTAAAATAATTCTAGCAGTTTGTTTGATCAATCCGCAGAGATTCTTGGCTATGATGATTTCAATCATCATAGACAGAGTTAAGAATCTCTCCAAGGCTTGGCTCAGCTCAAATAACTCCAGCGATGTCTTCAGACATCCAGTCCACAATCAACAGGAAGGGTTGTCTTCTATGATGATTTCAATCATCATTCCAATAGACAGCTCTGATCAAGTGCTTTCGAGGATGTGTCCAGCCTCCAATTCAACAGCAATTCGTGTGCACAACTCTCTGGAAAGGCGTAGGGGAAATCCTAGAGTTCTCTAGGTTCCTCTCATTGTTGTTCCACAAAAGCCAAAGCTCGTTCAATGACGTTCGTCATGTGATGGACAGCAAACAAAAAAATAAATCAAACTGAAAGAATCAAAGATTAAAAAAAATAGGAAGAAGGGTTTTTGCTATGAGAAAGTACCCTCCCACCGACCCAAGCTGATGGGAATTTGTCGCTTTGCTGAAGATAAAATAACAGTTAAAGCATGGAGAAAACTACTGGTCGTGAACTCACCACGTGAAAAGCAAGAGGTTTCTTTTGTGCTCTTAGTATGTAGCTGGCGATGAGCAAGGAGAAACAAAGTGGAACTCCACTTCCTGCCAATTATCTCTTTGGTTATTAACCTTGGGATGTTACAGCAAAAGACAACAAGGGACTTTGGTTCTTTTGGCTCCACGACACTTGCAAAGGAAAATCCTAAAGTCACCCAGTTGACAAGAATGTCTTTCATAGCTGTTGCTTTTGCTACCTATGCAAAGGCTATGTTATTTCAATGAATAAAATAAATAAAGAAAGAACTAAAGGAAGGCAGGGGGTTACCACATGAAACCTTAGGCGGGGAAGAAACAATCTATTTCTTCTTTTGGTGGTGCAACAGGTGGCTTGAGCCTATGTGCTGGTCTGGAGAAGCAAACGAAGAATAATATTAAGATTTTCGTTTTGTTGCTGTTTGCTGGTGCTCATGTGTTTTCTTTTTATAAGCAAAACACATATAGTCTAATCCTATGTGGACAAGAAGTTTACTTTACTGGATGATCTTGAGTTCCAAATCAACAAGGAGCTTAATTCAGACTCTACTTGGACAAGGATTCTTATCCTTTGGTGTCTTAATCAAATTAAGACACTTGTTAATAGCACCAATCTAAGAGGGGTCCAGCTGGAGCAAAGCAAGGCCTTTGGTTTACTATGTTTTGCTGAATGTAAACAAAAAAAAAAGAGAATAAAAGCCTGTGGAGGTGAACCCGCCTCGTGAAAATAAGAAGAAAGCGGTTTTATTCCCTTTTTGTTCTAATGCCACCTGCACAAAAATGAGACTCAAGATGAAAATAAGCAAGCAAAATAGCCAAAGGTCACAAAAGACCTCAGTTTGCAAGTGGAAAGACCATGTGGGTTGTTGCCTTGGGCTTATAAAAAAAAAAACGTGATCAAGGAGTGCAGGCAACTTGTCGATACGAAATTACCAAATTGTTGATAGCAATAGGCCCAATACGAAATTACAAGATTTGATGGCCCAAGACATAATGATCTCATACCCATGGGGCTCGTCTCACATCTCAAGATCAGTCAGTCTCAAGCCGACATTCCAAGACTCGACGGTCTCAAATACAATGGGCTCGGTCATTAAAAATTCCAATTGGTCAATAATTGGTGCAAAGTCTCAAATTCACAAATTATAGAGTAATGGGCTCAAATAAAAAAGGTCCCATTATTTCCCAAATCACCAAGTGAAGACCCAAGTGGTACAAAACCACACCAAAGCCCAAATGCAATGATCAAATTAAATTAATGGGTTTATCAAAATTGCCCATTAGTTTTCTTGGACATTAACAATAAAAAAATGGTACAAAACCTTCCAATTTTTCCATGGGTCATTTGTCCATGCAAATTTCATTGAGATTAATTTCAAATCTCTCAAATAGAAATTCTCAATTAGTGGGCTACACTTACCCATTAATTTCCAATTGTTCCCATGGGTCATCTACTCATGAAAATTCCAATGAGATTAAATTCAAATATCTCAAACACAAATTCTCAATTAGTGGGCCACACTTACCAATTAATTTCCAATTCTTTCCATAGGTCATCTGCCTATGAAAATCCCCAAATTGTCTCAAAGACACAAATTCTAAATTATTGGGCCACACTTACCAATTAATTTTCAATTTTTCCCATAGGTCATCTACCTATAAAAATCTCCAAATTGTCCCAAGGACACAAATTCTCAATTAGTGGGCTACACTTACCCATTAATTTTCAAAATCCGAACTATGTTGGTTTGATCCCTTTGAAAGGGTACATAGGCAATCTAGAGATTCAATCTTGGTGCAACCGTCCCGAACACAATTCCATATCGAATCCCTGGTTTATTCAGCTAAATTCACTCAAACACTCCTCAACCAAACTCATTCAAATTCCTTCCAACCAAACTCATTCAAATTCCTTCCTTTGCAATGAGTCATCTATTCATTGCGAATCTTTGAACTACGAGTGGCTTGATTCCCGCAAGGAATACATAGGCACCCTGAGGTTGGACTTAGGAGTATCAGCAAAACCAAACACACACATTCTGTTTCTTTATGATGGAATCAAAAGGTTTTCCCTTGTAGCAGGGGATTGTAATTAAGAGACTTGCATCTCGAATAGGTCGAACCTAAAATAATAGAACCCCATTAATTAATTAGTGGTGGTGAAATTATGTTGGGAGGTTCACATTTTCCTTCAACATACATATTATGAATCCAATACAAGTGGAGGTTAGAGTGAGACGGAGGAAGGCGTGGGAGGGGTGGGTATCGGGGGGTTGGGTGTGTGGGGGATTTTGGTGGCTACTGTTCTTCCATGTGTATCTTAGAGATTCAACATAAAATTAGTACAGAGGACAGGCGGGAGAAGATGACTGATGTGGATGAAAATACAGTTTTTCCCATGAGAAAGAACATGAAAAATACTATTTTGGCCTTAAATTTGACAGAAAATCTAACGTAAGACCAATGGTGCTAACTGAAGTGAAGTTGGGGGACCACCACAACCATTTTATGAATTAAGAGACGAAAATGCAACTCGAGTGTAAGTTGAGGGACTGTTTCACCTAAAAAGCCTATATATAAATTTGTTTACATTGATATTCAACATGCATGTAGTCCTCTTGGTTATTGGAAAAAGAAGAAAAAAAGAAGAAGTTATATATGCTACATGGAGAAAAGAGTTTAATTTGAAAGAGAGCACCTCCTAGGGTGTGGTAATTTCTAGCTTTGCTTTCTTATGGCACGTGAAAGATGAATTCAACCAAAATGTACATTTTGTTGAAATTGATATTGAGAAAGATCCAGAAGTAGGAAGCAGCTAGAATTTTGGGTACCGAACATGTGTTTAGTTCTTTATGTTGAAGTTTGCCTCACCAATGGATGCATGAGGAAGAAAGAAACTAAAGGGCTAAAAGGATAGAGCAACAAGAAAGGAGAAGAAGACGTCGCAAGGAGTGCAGGCAACTTGTCGGTTTTGGTCGACAGTTAATGTGTGTCTTTGTCTCCAAGCGACTGGTCGCCTATTCCTAACGACTGGTTGGTTCTTGAGCAATGTTGTGCATAATTTCAACGTTTTGGCTTATTTTGACGAAGTTTCCTATTATTTTGGGGGTTTCTAGCCTAATTTAATAGGGTTTTAGTTTCCTATTCCTGGCTAACTTGTAACCTAAGTCTTATGAGTTATAAATAGGACTTTGGAGCCTAGGTTAAATTTTTCGAGCCAAAGAGAGGCCAGGGAATTTAGAAGATAGGAGAATTCAAGAGTGAATTTTCAAAAGAGAAACACAAGACATAATTCAAGGGGGTGAATTCTTGAGTCTTTACAAGGGCATAAAAGGGTTTGAGCAATGGTGTGAGAGAAATTTAGACCTAGGTTTGAGAGGATAAAGAGCTAAGGGGTTCCTGTTGTAACCAAAGTTGTTTATATTATTCTAGTGAAATTTCTCGAGGGGATCACCAAAGAAGACGTAGGCACGAGGTTGAATCTCTATAAATCCTTGTGTTCTTTTTTGTTTGTTTTACTATCTTCATGGTGTGTGTGTTTTATTCTCAAGGGTTTTGTATGTGCGCATCGCATAGTTCATCAACGACAAGTTCTTGGAGTGTTTTCACACAACAAGTGGTATCAGAGCCACGGTTCGCGACATGCTCTTATAGTTTTAAGAGTGTTTGCAACTGTTGATGATGAGGAGGGACAAGAATGCATAAGAGAAGCTGATGAAACCACAAACGAATAGCATGAAGCTCGAGGTGATGACAACCACAAGGAAGGAGAACTTCATGCTATGACAAAGGAGAATGAAACATGCCCTAGCTCATCAAGGTTCAGCCGTTATCTTGGCAACGGAGGAGAGGGACGTGCTGGTCGAGTTAGCTAGGGGGTTCATCAAAGCGATGGAAGACACCACAAAGAAAACACGGGAAAAGCTTAAATGGGTGTTTGCGGCGAGATTGTTGTCAAACAAATTCTTCTTAAAGGAAGAGCTCCTCAATCTTTGGATGAAGAAAGGGAGGAATCTAAAATTTAGGAAAAAAGAAGGGTGCTTCGAGTGGGTCTAAGGACCATTGGAAGCAAAATTATTTGGTATGTAAGGAGAAGTGAAACAAGATGAAGAATGCCAAAAGTTCAAGAACAACCAATGATGAATTTTTGACGGTTACGAATGAGGAGTGTAATGGGGACGTCGGGGCAAATTCTTAAGGTAAGGTTTCTACTTCAATTTGGATTTTAAATTCTTGATGCTCTTATCATGTATGTTCAAATAGGATTGTATTTGATACATATGAGGAAATGAATGGTAGCAAGATTATGTTGGGAGACAAAACAAGCTATGATGTTTTAGGCGTTGGAATAGTGAAGATCAAGATGCAAAATGGTGTTGTTAGGAGCTTTTATGAGGTAAGGCATGTACCAACACTAAGAAGGAATCTTATTTCCCTTGGTGCTCTATATAGAGAAGAGTATTCTTACAAGGAAGAAGAAGAGAAGCTCTTAGTCACACAAAGGTTCGATGGTGATTATGACAGGGAAGATTCAACCTAACAACGTTTATGAGCTTTTAGGGACTACAATCTCAGGTGGTGCAGAAAATACTACCAAGGAGAAGCTTTGTGCCAAAGAAAAGCAAGCAAGGGATCTTACTATCAAGTAGCTGGTGCAACGGAATGAAACTACAGGTTTGCTCAAGACTAGTTGGGTAAGGAAGGTTAGTCAAGGTTGTATGATTAAAAGTTTGTCATCAAGGGTGTTTCATTTCAAAGGTGTAGAAGTGGTGGTGTCGGAGGACAAGATCCATAAAGTTGAAGTTAAGACAAAAGATGAAGGGGAGAATGTTGTTGGGTTGGTGGCAACCAAAAAGGTACTTTTTACTGTTTAGATCCAAATTTTTACACCCTTAAGCTCAGACAAGGTAGGGTTTGAGGAAATGAGGTAGGGGCCCAAAAGCCCATGTTGACTTTCTTTTTTTTTTTTTTTTTTTTTTTTTTTTTTTTTTTTTTTCATTTGTTTCTTATTCTTCTTTTTTTCCTCTAAGTATATTTTTCGGTGTGCGATTTGTAGGTTCCTTTTAGTAAGGTAATGGGTTGCCTCAACTCCTCTAAGTTGATTGTGAATTAAATCCCACAATTTAATTCTTCATATTGGCGAATGCCAATTATAATTGAACCTTACAGGACTTCCACAAGCCATGGTTGGTGCCTAGCACCATGTAATGGCTACCCAGCTAATTAAAAAAGGTGAAAAACCTATTTGAGTTGGAATTGCTGTGGAAGTGAGTTCTTCTCTATCACAGTGCTCCTAATTCATACTATCAAGGTATGGATACCATTTTCAAAACCCTAATATGAATTTTCCACTTATATAATTACGTTGGTTATGTTTAGAAACTTCTTTTCTAATCATATCCAATACTTTTCAAAGATTTCCCAATCATATCTTTCGAGCACTCTCTCTCTCCGTATTGAGAGCAGAGATCCCTTGTTCTACATTCACTTGCCTCTATGAGCTGAATGCCATAAAAATAAGGAGATGAGTTTGAATAATGAAAATCACCTTTGACTAATTTTTCTTTCAATGGTCGTATAGTGATATCAAAGAAAACCGACTCGTCCACAAGACAATTACAATGTCTTAAGTCTGAGGACTAGCTTGCAATATTGCGACTTATGAGTTCTAGTTTGACATGTGAGTAAGACTTCCATCATAGAACTTGTGGTTTGATTGTGTTCAGTGTACTTATCCCTATAAGCACCTACACACTTATCTTAGTGTTTCTACACGTAATGACTTGAGACTAGTCATTCTCCCAATTGAGCAAATATAGTGTGTACCAGTCTTTGCGGATGATCAACGTCCAATTGATAATCCTACGACCAAGAACATTTGGGAAATGATGTGGAAGTATGAGAGGTCTCCTTATATCCAATCTAATTGCATAGCTCTTTTACTATTTCATATTCAAAGGACTTGTCATTTTACTATTATGATAATAATCCAAATATCATGATTGAAAACAACAATCTTCCCATTAGTGATGGTAAAATATCCAAAAAGCAACATCACATGTTTGGCTTTAAGGCAACAGTTTGCATATTAGGGCTTGTCAAGATTCAAGGTTCTAAGAAGGCGATGAGAAAGAAGTTCTGCATAGGGGATCTTTCTTCTACAGAAGAGGTCCGGATGGCCCAAGTTTAGCTTGGGTGGAGCACCTCTTCACCTGAGGTGCTATGAGGCAAGAGGTTTCTTGCCATAGTGATGTTCTAAGGAATTACTAGAACAATTTCCAAGAGGTTGATGAGGTTATAGGGGTCAACAATTGTTCATAGGCGATTGATGGTTCACCAAGGTGGAGATTGTTGAAGTTTGGATCACCAATGGATGTATGAGGAAGAAGTAATCTAAGGGATTGCAAGGATGGAGCAGCAAGGAAGGAGAAGAATATGTCGTAAGGAGGAGATGGTGCAGTCGACCAGTTGCCTTGGCCAAACGATCGGTCGGTTTTGGCTTAGAGCTCAGTTCACGTCTTTGTCTCCAAGTGGCCAGTGGCCTACTCCTGGCGATTAGTCGGTTCGTAAACAGTGTCGCGTATGATTTCTATGTTTTGGCGTGTTTTGACGAAGTTTCCTATTATTTTGGGGTTTTCTAGCCTAATTTAATAGGGTTTTGGTTTCCTATTCCTAATTAACTTGTAACCCAAGTCCTATGAGTTATAAATTGGACTTTTTGGGCTAGGTTAAATTTGTTGAGCCATAGAGAAGCATGGGAATTTAGAAGAGAAGAGAATTGAAGAGTGAATTTTCAAGAGAGAAATACAAGACAAAGTTCAAGAGGGTGAATTCTTAAGTGTTTTCTTTGAGCAAGGGTGTGGGAGAAATTAAGACCTAGGGTTTGAGAGGATAGATAGCTAAGGTGTAACAACCCAGTCCTTAATTAATATTTAATTATTAATTTATTCCAATAAAAGACCATTATACCCCTAGAATATTTTATTGGTTTAAAAGTTGACTTTTTGATCAGGAAGGAATTTGAGGATTTCAGTTATACTGTTGTGTGGAACGCGACGAAACGAGTCCGTAGACACATAGTGGACTCGAATCAGAGTTGTAACGAAGGAGTTACGATCAAAAGAAGTTCAGTGGCATAACTGTAAATATTTCAAAGTTCAGTTTTTAAAAACCCAGAATTCTCCTCTGTTGGCAGCTCGACCAGCTGACTTCCAAAGGTGATATCTCTCAACCCCGACCACCAAATCGAGCAAGACCAGTGCCAAACGAACCAACTCACTCCCCTCTTTCAGTATCAGCCCATCCCAGCCTCGATCCGCGGTCGTGGTCGCCGAAAACCGCCACGAAACAGGGCGGTTTGGACAGTTTTTGATGAAATTTCACGGAGCTCGTTCGGACACCTCCGGCCACCAAATCGGACGAGTGAGGTATGTTTTTCTAGCTATTTTCCATGCTCTAGCTGCTGGTTAGGTAGGATTTCAGAAATTCCAAGCGTAAATACTTCGATTGTTAAGTTAGGTTTCAGCCGGTTTTGAGGGTGCGATTCCGGCCACTTCTAGCCAGTTTTTGGGGTAGAACAAAAGTGGCTCCAAATATGGTATTACACCTAGGGTAGGAACCTTGAGCCGTGATTCAGAGTTTTTCCGACGAAGTGTTATAGCTTTAGGCACCACTCGCTGCTGGCGCGTGGGCAGCAGGGTGGGGACCATAGTCAATCTTACAATAATCTCCTAGTCCCCACGAGAGCGTAGGATTTTGCATATCTTAATTCGGATAACGTTTGAACCCCGAACGGATCTCACCTAGTGTGTGATTTTTGGGTTCAGCAGGTTTGAACCGTTGGATCGTAGTCATGTTCACGTATGTTGATCTAGGTAATTCCAAGATCGTATATTATTTGACGGATCATAAAACGGAGTCCTGGTTACTCCAGGAATGTCAGCCCCAGAGTGAGTTTTATAGTAAACAAACCAATTGCAGATAAAAAACAGAGGAAAGAACTACGTGTGGCTTGATCCCTCAGTAAGGGTACGTAGGCAGCCTATAGTTATCAGGCGCAGCCACGAGTTAGGGCCTTAGGGTTTGTGTTATTGTTTTTCAGGGCCTTTTGATCATTCACGACCCACGGTCACCAGGTGTCAGTTTAAACAGGATTCGACCTCTCAACAAGATAGAAACCACGTAGGGTGGGGTGTACTAACCAAATTTTAAAAACATAACCAATTCCAAGAGAACTGAGTAAACGATGACTCAAGATGATGAAGATCATGTAAGAAAGTGTAGAGCTTCCAATTGTCCATCGCTTTCCTTCCATTCAAAGCACTGAACAAATCTAAACAATTAGTTTCCAACACCATATTTTTAAGGTTGAAAGAGGAGGCAAGGGAGAGCCCAAGAATAGCAGCACGAGCCTCACACTCGATTGCTTTGGATAAATTGCAATATTGAGTTGCAAATGTTAGCGAGATCCTAGCTTAATTAGGATATTTATTTCCTAGTTTATTAGGACTATATTTCTTTCCCTTTGTACAAGTATTGTGTAATTAGGATTTTATTTTGTTTCCTAGTTTGACCATACTAGGGTTACATCCTTATACCATAAATACCTCATTTTGGAGAATGAAATACAATCTGAAAAATATTCTATCCATATTGTTTGACTTGGCATCAGAGCCAACTTTTCTGGTGACCTGTGTGTTGTGCCCACCTGTGTTCTAGCCCCATATTTGTTTTTCTCAACCTGTGTCATGTGTGCCCTCCTCGGTTTGTGTGTGTTGTGTTGTAGTGTTCGTGTCTATCTTCGTGCATATGCTGTATTTATGCCTCTGCTGTGTTCCATTGTATACTCTGTCGTGATCAGTTGAGTTTCTGCTACAATCATGGGTGATAACTCCATTGTTGGTGTTGATGCTGCTGCCTTTGCAAATTTGTTTGTTTCTAACTCTATTTCAAGTACTGGCTCTAATACTTGGATAATTGACATTAGTGCTTCTGTTCATATGAGTTATGATGCTAAATTTTTTGATGAGTTGTCTAGTAACACCCGTGACCCATACATAACTAGTGCTAATGGCTTGCCCTCTCCAATTACTGGCGAGGGCACAATCTCTCTCACACCTACTCTGTCCTTATCTCGTGCATTACTAGTTCACAATATCCAGTGTAACTTGTTATCTGTTGGTTGATTACTTGATACACTTAATGCTTCTGGTACTTTCTATCATACGTATTGCTCTTTTTAGGATCTCAAGACTCACGAGACGATTGTGCATGGTAAACGAATATGGGGGTTATATTGTTTGACATTGCCTTCTGCACTAGTTCGTGATCGTGTCGTTAATACTGTTCAAAGTTGTAGTGTCAAAGATAAACAACAAATTTGGTTATGGCATCATGAATTGGGACACCCGTCTTTTGCCTACTTTAAGAGTCTGTTTCCATCTTTATTCCATTCTTGTGATGAGTCTAGTTTTAAGTGTGAGACATGTATTTTGGCCAAGAGTCATCGCACTGTGTTTCCTTTGAGTGACAGTAAAGCTGCAAAACTTATTGATTTAGTGCATTCTGATGTGTAGGGTCCGTGGCTCATGTTACTTAGAACAGATTTTGTTGGTTCATCACATTTATTGATGATTGTACTCGATTCACTTGGGTTTTCTTGCTGAAAAATAACCAAGATGTTGCTTTCATCCTTCCAAAGTTCTGTACTATGGTGTCTACTCAGTTTCATGCTCAAGTCAAAATATTCCGGACTGATAACGGAGGCAAATATGTGAATAATACTTTGGCGTCTTTCTTCCGTGCTCAAGGTATTATTTACCAAACGACAACCCCATTTACTCCTCAACAGAATGGTGTGTTTGAACGAAAGAATCGTCAGTTACTTGAAGTTGCCTGTTCCTTTATGTTGGACATGTGTGTTCCCCATCATCTTTGGGGGCATGCTATTTTATCTACTGCCTATTTGATTAATCGTACTCCTAGTTGGGTTCTTGATTTCAAGACTCCGCATGATGTGTTTGGTGACCATGTTTCCCCTGTCTCAATCTTGAAGTTGCCCCCTAAAGTTTTTGGGTGTGTTGCCTATGTTCATGTCTACTCTCATCAGCGGAGTAAACTTGATCCTTGTGCTCTACAATGTGTTTTTATTGATTACTCTTCTACTCAGAAGGGTTATAAGTGTTATCATCCACCTACCCAGAAGATGCATGTTACTTTGGACGTGACTTTCCATGAAGAAGTGCCCTATTATGTCTTTCCTTCCTCTCCAATTCAAGGGGAGATGGGGTGTGAATTGGAGAGTCTTAGATTGGAGAATCTTGGACTTGAATTGGAGAATGATGTGTTTGAAGATATTGTTCTCGGGAAGGAAACGACCGGTGGCACTGAAGCAAGTGATCGGTCACCTAAATTTGAAGAGGAAACATGTGGTCCCTGTGAAAATCGACTGGTCGCCCTTTGGAACTCAACCAGTCGCCCATATATGGAGATGAAGCAGGTGCTCTCGGTGTCAAAACGGCCGGTCACACTAAAGCAAGCAACCAGTCGTTTGTATCTAAAAATAATGACAGTGATTCTTATATGGATGAGTTCGATGCAGTACCCCCCTTTGCCATGCCAGTGCCCCAATCTACTCGTGATAGTGAATCAAGTGAGGTAATTTCTAATGATCTATCTGTGTCAACTTATCAGTTATCCCCACGAACCACTCGTGGGAAACTTAAAGTATAATATTCTTCTGATATACATGCCAAGTCGAAATATCACATTAGTTATTATGTGTCAACTCATCGTTTGTCTAAGTCATATGCATCATATTTGTGTCAATTATCTAGTGAATGTGTGCCAACTAAGCTGTAGGATGCTTTATCTAATCCCAAATGGATGGATGTTATGAATGTTGAAATGAATGTCTTGAACAAGAATAAAACACGAGATTTAGCTCCTTTGCCACGAGGGAAGAAATGTGTTGCATGTGGATCGGATGTTTACTTTGAAGCATAAGGTTGATGGTTCCATTGACCGTTACAAGGCTAGATTGGTAGCAAATAGTTATACTCAGACCTATAGAGTGGATTATTTGGAGACCTTTTCTCCAGTGACAAAGCTTAATATTGTGCGAGTACTATTGTCCCTGGCTGCTAACCACGATTAGCCCTTATTGCAATTCGATGTTGAAAATGCATTTCTACATGGTTACCTCAAAGAGAAGATTGACATGGATCTCCCTCCTAGTATTCCTATAACCTCCAAGAAGGGTGTTGTGTGTAAGTTGCGGAAATCTTTATATGGATTAAAGCAGTCTCCAAGATAGTGGTTTGAGAGATTTGTAGTATCTATGAAGAAATTTGGGTATGTGCAGAGTTGCCAATTTTCACAATTGTATCTTGTATTGATCAACTAGACTGTAGATTATTATACATCAGAGTTGCCAATTTGTAAGTTTGGAAGGGTTTTGTTGAAGAATATAAAGTCCCACATTGGAAACTTGACTAAATAAATTACAAGTTATAATAATTGGTACCACTCCTAATAACATCGAGGCCATTTGTGATAAAACTTCACACATACTAGGCTTTGTAGGTGGTTAAGTTGGAAATAATATCGGCGTTGCTAATAGTAGGCCGCTGGCCTGTCTTCTAAAATTTAACTGGTGTTTAAAGAAAATAATATTACAATTACACTATGGAAGTGGTGATCCAAGACCCTCTTGAGAAGCTAATGTATTAAGAGTTCTGTGTCTCTTAGAGGAGATCAATGGCTCCTTCCTCAATGGAGCTCTCTTGGCATGGTGTTGAAAGTTTGCCTTGGCATAAAGTCTCTGTGTGAAAAATGATGCTCTATCCTTGTACTTGATCACCATACAAAAGATAACCCTGGAACAGATTAACAAGGCTGCCAGAGCAGCCAAATCCCACCACTTGGAAATTTTAGGGTTTATCCCATACATATAAAGGAGAACATCCTCACCTTTTAACTTTGGTTCTCCAGGAACTTGTGGGTCAAATTCAAGCCCAATCATATCATTCTTGAACTGACCCTGAGATAAATAATTTTGATCAATAATTAGATGCCAAATCTAATTAATGGCATGTTTACTTACTAAGAATGGGGAAGTCATAAATCAGAGAACTTAGATAAGATAATCAAGGAATTAGAATTATTTAAATATCAATTCTTGATAAGTAAACATGCCATAAGATGTAATTAAGAAGTGTTTGAAGGACTTAATATACTTCTTAGTACCTGTATTGACCATGCGGCATAGCTGAGGTAGGACATTGGGTAGCGCCAAAAGATATTTGGAAGGTCAACCAGCCTCCGGAAGAGAAGGGATGGCATCATCATGAATACCTGTGTGCTAAAACATATTAGATGTAACTATGTGCTAAACCATATTAGATGATTGACAACTAAGATACTGACCTGTCTACTAACGCATCATATATTATTGTATTAAACGATCACATTACGTGACAGTCTGTTATATTCCAACAAAAGATGAGGTAAAAACAATGATATTAGAGTACCAACTCTTAGTTACAAACTAGTAACATGAAATCTTTTCATCGATAAACAAATGAAGTTTAATGTAAGGCCACACATAGCAAACAAAATATACTAGTTTTTATTTTTTATTTTTTATTTTTTTGCCAAAGCCGTTGTACTAGTTGGGATGATATAGTTGGTATCTCTAGCATTACTTAGTCGCAAAATACAGTTTTTGTTACGGTTTTATAACCGAAAAGTGAGGTTTTGCTTACCATCACGCCAGCTGCGGCTCCTATGCCCATCAAGAGATTTGGAACTACGGCTGCAACGATTAAGGCAGTGCCTTCTGTGACAGCAATGCAGCAGAAGAGATTGAGACAAAAATACAAGTAATGAGAGAAGCCGGAATGGAATTTGACCATGTAGTATAGGATTGTTCCAGAAGAGAATGCCATGGCAACTACGAAAGGAAGCGAGGACACGAAGTTGGAGAGCACAAACAGAGCATCCCCATAATGCCCACCAAGTCTTTCACGCCTAAACACCTGCAAGCCAACTTTGAAGTTATATACAGTTGAATTTTTGTACTTATGAACTTCAAGAGTTAATGCCCACAAAACTGTTGTTTTAAGAAAAAGGAATAAAAAATTGCAAAAAAATAAAAAGAAAATAATAAACTTGAGTTATTTACAGAGACATTTACCCTACGAAATTTTTGGTATTTTCATACAATAATACGAGGGTTTGGAAAATACACCAAATCCCTCTAAGGTCTAATCTTTGAGGTTAAATTTTTTCATTTGGGAAGTTTTTGTGATGACATCATCATTTTTTGGAAAGAAAATGAACAGAAATGGATTTATTGAAAACAGTTTGAAACCTCAAGGGTTGTTAGTGTAATTTCTGAAACCTGAATTGGTTTATGATGATTTCAAGCTGATGAACTTTCAAGATTCGCAGACTAACAACGTAGGTATCAAGGTGAAAAAAAAAAAATCGTATGTGCAAATTTAGGATGAGGCTCATGTCTACCTGTAATTCTTCAATAAAAAAAGGTATGCCTCCAATAGACAAGCAGATCATGAGGCCGTAGATGAAACCATCACACTTTCCTCTTGCCACGATTGCTTGATAGTTTGTCCCAATCTTGGAAAAGAAAGAGCCAGCACTCACTCCAACTAAAATATAAAACACACTCCTCAACCAGTAGTACCCAACATCTCTAGACATGTTCAGTGAAGATCGACTTATCAATGTGCATAGCTGCCTCCACCAGCTGCTACTATTTTCCTTGTTTGATTTGGTGGCAGGTTTTTCCTGCAATGTAAAGAGTTCTTGGATCCTTTTTCTTGCGTTCGTTATAAATTGGGAGGACTTGTATTCATTGATGAGCTTTCCTTTGATATCATCTGTTGTCAAATTCATTTCAGAATTTAAAGAGCCTGATGATCCCTGCCAAGAAAATACGAAAAATGATAGGTATGCAGATCAAAGAGGGAGAAAGAGAGGAAGAAGTTAAGAGGAAATAGGAATTCTCATTCGATACCAGCAGAACGAGTACAATCCAAACTAGAAAGAAAATACCTTACAATCCTAAAAAGATAAGTATTACTATTACCCCATATAATATCATAGTAACCCCAACAATAAACAATTAAAACCATTAATAATAAAGCAGCAAAACCAAACCTTCATGAAGAAAAAAATTAAAGAAATTTACGTACATAATTAATTCTTTGAGATATCATAAGTGCTGTGATAACTTTGTCAAAGTCCGAACTAACACATCGAAGGAAGTGATCTGGAGGATTTTTTCTTGTTGGACAAGGAAATCCGGCATCCGCGAAGAACTGAAGAGTAAGAATTGAAGAAACCATCAATTAATTAGTATGTCTGTCACTATCTTACTTGTTAGAAATATGCAATCGAGGTTCAGAATAGGCTTAGATTTCAAGAAACAAGATATCAGTGAACAAATTTGGCGACCCTATTAAGAAATAATAATCTTACCTTTACAGCCATCTTTGCTTCTCCAAAATAAACAGTTTCACCTCCTGCTAGGAGAAGCAGATCATTGAAGAGATTAAACACATCGCTACTCGGTTGGTGGATGGAGCAAATGACTATCCTTCCATCATGAGCAATGTTTCTTAATGCCCATATCACAAAGAAAGACGAAGCACTGTCCAGGCCGCTGGTGGGTTCATCTAGCAACAACACATGAGGCTGTGTTAATATTTCAATGCAAATGCTAAGTCTCCTCTTTTCTCCGTTACTTATACCCCTCAAATGCCAGTTTCCAATGTTGTTTTCTGCACAATCTTGGAGACCCATTTTTGTGAGGGTCTCTTCTACCACCTCATTCTTGTCATCTTTAGTCATTGTAGAAGGAAGCCTGAGTTGAGCTGAATATTCTAGGGTTTCTCTGACTGTGAGTGATCCCAGGAAGAGGTCTTCTTGAGTTACATAAGACTGAAAATGCATGCATATTAATATTATAATCAATTTTTTTTAAATTAAATACTTCATGTTAATTCTAATTGTACTTACAATGTCTCTGCAGTTTAACCTTCTTTTGTTCCCGTTGAGTATAACATCTCCGGACATTTTCACATTTGCAGGTAGTCTACCTTTTAAAAAGTAAGGAAAACTCAAAATATATATTATAGGCATACCAGAAATTCAAAGAGTAAATTTGATTTAATCGCTTTGAATAAGTAAGGTAGTCTACCTTACTTTCCAAATCCCTTATTTTTAGGATTTACATTTAATTGCTTTGAATTTCGGAACATATTCTTAGGCACTTATTTTTGAACATGTTCTTTATAGGTTTAAATACTTAATGGCGATGCTTCAAGATTTGAGGGATCCTGATTCTCTGCTATGATCTGCTTTATTTTTGTTCCCCATATGCCACCTCATTAAAATTTAATTTAAGGGATTTAAAAGTTGACACATCATCCTAAAATAAAAACCCAATCTACTCCTAATTTTTGTTTTTAAAAAAACAAAACCCTAACACCCAACTAACGGGATAGTTAACGTCCAAAGCTGTTTTTTGTTTCTCCTTCTTGCTTCACGCTATGTTCTCTTCTGTTTTTTGCCTTTCTTCCTTGGGTTCTAGCTTTTTTTTTTCCCCTCTTCTTGTCTCTGCCCCAATCTTCTTCT